TATGAGAGAAAGTCCATCAACTGCTGAGGGACAGATTCTGCAGAGCTTCATGCAAACCCTAAGTTCAGGTGGCTCAGATATGAGCTCTGGGGGGTTGTGATGCAGGCTACCAAGAGGACGCAAGAGTGGAGGTAGAGCTTGTCCAGGCAATAAGTTCAACTAATCTTGAGGGGAGGCAGAACATGTTGGCTTATTTTCCAAGCTCGTGCAATGTGAATCTACTGCACGTTGACTTCGACTGAGCCAGACCCTTGGCCAGCCCAGCACCATCAACATGGCCTGGAAGCAGTTCTCCAGGTCAGAGGGGCACCATTCTTTCCCAGCCCTAATGGAGATGGTGGGAATCAAACCTGGGGCTTGGCTTGTGAAACATCTGCTCCAGCGCTGCTCTACAATCCCTCTTCCTTATAAAATCAGAACCCCTAATGTATAGCTCCCTATGAAGAAGACAAATATGTGCCCCCAAAGCAATGAATTAACCAGTTTGGGTAGGTAACTTCACTCCAGACAACCACACCATTTCTTTCTTGTCTTACATATGGAGGGCTTTTTGGGTTGTCTGTTTTCCTAGTCACCGTCCCCTCCCAGTAAAGCAGAAAGTGCATTGCAACACCAAGGCCGGTGCTCTTGTCTACGGAGCTGGTCAAGAAGAAACAAAGCTGGCGAGAAGGAAGCCTTCTTGCCATTTGTCGTTCCCCCACCAGACGTGGACTGGGAGGTCAAGTGCCTCCGACAGGTCCCCTCAGCATATGGTGAGGACTGACATCCACGGACGGCCAGGACTGGGACAAGCTTTGTCAGCTCGGGCCAGGGGACCTGAAATCAGCCTAGCGGGAGAGAACAGATGGTGAGGGCCGGTGAGAGGGATGCGAGAGCTTCCCATCCTGCCCTTCCCTGCTCCTTGCAGGCCAACTGGCTGCGTTATTATTCCTGCAGAGTCATTACTGCTGACTCCTTCCATTGTTCTTCATGGAGGGAAGTGCAGGGCTGGAGAGCTGCAAAAGCCGTGGCTTTTGTGCCATTCTGGCTGCTCTCTGAGTGTATTGCAAGGCAAGCAGGCAGGCAGGCAGGCAGACACCATGCCCCTGAGCCAGCCCTCTGTAAATGCATCCCTTCTCCATCTGTTTTCCACTCGCTTTCCATTTTGCAAATCAGGATATAAAGCAGAAGGATGTAATTCAGAGATCTAATCCATGATACCATTTTCCACCATTTACATTCCTGTGATTAATTACTTAAGATGGAAACACACACACACACACACACACACAGCCCGCAAGGGATGCTGAAACTCTACCGCCATCCAGACATTTTTTCTTCCATTGTGGGGTACTGAGTTATGCAATTACTCTGCAGTGCAGGACCCCATGCACCGTTCTTCTCTCTTTGATTTCTACTCTTTGCAGCGGATGCCACATGTGGGCACATGCCCTACTTTTTCAACGTCTGTCCAGGCCAACTCCAGATAAAAAGAAGGACGAGCATCAGGAAACATCCCTTGCACCTTTGGCTGCCTTGTGTTGATCAGGCAAGCTCGAAAACACAACAAAAACAATGTTAAGACGCTCAGAAAATGGAGCCAAGCAGTGGAAGCCTTTCTCATGGAGAAGGAATATTTTCGAGAAAGGGGAGGGCAGAGTTTTGGCACAGCCCGGCTTTTTCCTGGAACTGGACTCAGCTCTGTCGTCCCCCCCGCCCCTGCACTGCAGTGGATGCAAAGTGGGGGCCCACTTTGAGGGGCTACACTTTGAAATTTACCTCCACTAGTGCAGCCTTTCCCAACCTTGGATCCCTAACAGTTGTTGGTCTGCAAACCTCACCATTCTTTGTCATGGGCTGTGCTGCTTGGAAATTACTTTTACTGATTTCTTTATAGCACTTATGCATATCTAAACATATTCTGGGACAGCAAACAGTAAAAAGATAGAACAGATAAAAGAATAAAGACGATGCATTAAAACAGAATGACACTAAAACCACGGTGGGTCAACAAGGAAGTTTTGGGTCATGTTTTGAACAGAGTGGGAACAGCACTTACTCATTTGCATGTGCTCCTACAGTGGTAAAAGCATATTGCAAAAATTCCATGAGAACATTCCTGATAATTGGAAGGTGCTCTATGTTAGGTCCCTTCAAAGCTGATGCATCCCATACCCTGGGCAAAGCCAGGCTGCAATGGGTCCATGCCATCTGCATCCTACACCTTGATCACCCTATCAGGCTGCCTCAACCGAAATGCGTCCTTCAAAGTTGAGCAGATGGTGGTGTCAACATCTGGATGGGGGATGGACTAGTCTAGAAGACTCCTCACTTCAGGGACAAGAGATGTTTTCCTCCAACTGCAGTGCAAAAAGGCCATAGCAGACCTTAGAGGAAATAAGGGGCCCCTTTGGTGGAGAGCATCTGAAGAGCCTCCAGGCCACCTGAAAAAGCTTCACCAGACAGCAACTCAAGGATGCAATGGAAGAGCAAGGTAAAGGTGCTTTGCTGCTTGCACCAATGTACAACAGGCATGACTACATGTCCTAGAACAAAGTTAGTCCACTTCACTTACTGTTTTATGGTGTTTGTGTGTGATAGGAGTTGTAGTTCAACACCATTAAAGCACCCCGAGCCAGGTTAGTGAATCTCACATGACACACTGTTCAGCCCCTCAAAGTAGCTTGGGAAATGGTATTGCCATTCCTTTGGAAATGACAGTTTCATTCGTGCTTTTGGCCGTGACCCAAGAAACTTCTTTGGGAACCGTTTGTCGCTTGTGTGTTTTTCTTCCTCCTCCTCTGCTCGAACAAACTCACTTCACACATCATCTAAATGGAGGTGGCAACTTTACCTCTGTAGACGCTAAGGATGACCTAGTCTAGCTGCACATTTGCATCTGAGCTTCCAGAAGAAATCTGGAGTTCGCCTATCACTTGTCACTTTGCATTCTTGTACAGGCAAAGATTGCTAGAGGGGAACATTAGAGCAGGATGAGAAATTCTCTGGGGAGTAAGACCACACATGTCTGTACACAGGAGTATGTCTGGAACATCACTGGAAAAGACAGGTAACATTTAGAAAAAGAAACAGTATTTAGTGAAGGTTTTATGAAAATAACAGGCATGAAAGAGTGGGCCAATGGTCCTATTTTCAGTATTTGCATCCAGGTAGGTAGGTAGATAATATATAGACTGTGCAGAAAAAATTCTCCTATTTTTTGACCATTCTCGTTCAATTTAATGGCAAAGAAATTGCTTTCAAACAGAAATTCCATAATGAAGAAATGTTGGAGACAGAAAGACCCATAAACCCCAAACGGGCACATGATGCAGGAACTCAGAGGTGTCTGAGCATTTGCAGTGGGGGCTTTCGGACTGTACTGTTGAGCGGCTGCATGCAGCTGTAAGGTCATGAAAGTACAAAGTGCAACAATAATTGAGTTCAGACAACACAATATCCCACCCTCCAGGGTTTAGTGTGAGTTGAGTGTGGGTTGTCTGAACCCAGCTCCAGAAACAAGCCATGGCTTGTGAACCTCAAACAGTCCATGAAGAGAACCTGAGGCTTGTTGTGGGGTGTTAGTCACTATGATTTTTTGAAATACCCCACCCTACCCAGGAGCAGGGTAGCTGGGCAGGGACATTTCACTGAATGAGGGTGAGGGCCTTTCACTTCTCAAGGGGGAGGAAAAATCTGCAAGAGTTTCTTAAAGGGGGGGGGGTCATTCTTAGTGGTGCTCCCATCCAGCGTTGTGCATCTTCCACAAGGCCTCACAGCTAGCATCATTCTAGGGCATTATGGGAAGAAAATGGTGACTCTCACACATACAGGGAGTGGGAGAGTGCGAGAGAGAGCCTATATGGTGTGGGGAATCTGCAATATGACCTTCTTTTTCTAGGCCAGTGAGAGAAAGAAGAATCTCAGATGTTCTCTTTCAGAAAAAACAGATCCTGAATTTTTTCAGCTCAGTGCCCTCGGACACTGTACCCTAAGGCAAAACACTCCAGCACAAGTAGTGAGTATCGTTTATTTTCCTGTGTGTTGGGGGATCCTTCGGAGGATATGCACGGCTCACTGGAGCTTGGGGCCATGGCAATCGTGCATCTGTTTTCCTCGGAGTGTTGCCCACATCCCCCTGCCCGTTACTAATAGCTGTGACTATATAGTAATGACAACCACCGGCATAAGTCTAGCTCCTCTAGGAACAGAAGGAGACTACCCTGGCAGGTTAATTTTAGGCTTCAGTGGATGTTTGCTTAGTCAGCTGGGCATTCGTGTTGAGGAAGGAAAATGGAAAACCGGGGAGTGAATGGGACGGTGGACTGCAGTGGATTCATGTGAGTGGGCTAAAGGTTCCTCTTCCCGTTGACTTTGGAAGAAAGGCCACAGAGCCCCATGAAGTTACTCCTTCGAAGCGTGGTGCATTTTATTTTGTCTACATTATTTCTGTCATGCCTGTGTTCAAAGGGCTCCTTGAAAACAGTTCCCCATTGGAATGAGTCCTCTATTTGAAGATCGGTCCTGTTGAATTCCAGTTTCAATACTGAAAGCATCCCCAAGAATGGTTACTACCCACAGTCTGTACCTGGACAGCCGACTAAAAGTGCAGATCACCTGGTCAACGTGGTCTGCAGCACTGTGGACAATTCTAATAATGTAATGGCACATAATTCTACTTTCATTCTATTTAAAATATAATTGTGCTAGCTCAATTTACCTCTACATGTATATTAGCATGTGCTCATGTCATACGGATTGGTGTCCTCTTTTCAGGGGATGCATTTCCTTCTTTAGTGATTCAAGAGTGGCCATCCCAGTTCCAACCTTCATGGGTACTAGGGACAAGATGCAGGTTCTGCAACGGAGCTCCTTCTTTGAAGCCCCTTGCCTTGGAAGAAGGCCAGGCCTGTCTGTTACTAGGGCAGGCTTCACATAGTTCTGCACCGCCAAAGTTTTCTCCACCACTCTGCCAATCTGAGACTCGGGATATTAGTGGGTTGAGAACAAATCAACCTTACCTGCTTTCCATCGAGGGTGTACAGCTTTTTGACAACTCCTGTTTCCAACTTTATGGCTTCTGTGATATCAGTGAGAACTTGCTCAAATGAATGTGCTGTCTTTTTATTCAGGAGCACACGGACGGCCTTCCTGGGCTTCACCCCACTGCGGATGATGGTCACCAGCTTGGGACGCACAAAATCCTTGTTCTCCCGGGCCTGAGCACTGTTGCTGCTTGCCAGGGACTGAGGGGCTTTCACATTGGCCGAGGTTTTCACATTGACTGACCAGTTGGGGTTGACGTTCTTGGTATACTCCACTTTCTTAAAAAAGTTGTCTGAGGAACATACATAACTTTCACCTTGGGGGAAGAAAAACCGGGAGAGGGGGTTACTCGAGGGAAACAACAAGTTGTAAGATGCTATTGTTTCCATGACTGGACCCAGCTGAAAGAGAGGAAATGGTCCAACCTGAAATCACTCTTCTTCAGTACAGATGGTTTTTAAACAGTGGCAAGTGTTATCTATGCTCCCTTGGCTGTTATCAAAGCATCTCCCATCCTGACAGTTTGATGGTTACTGAGAAGGAAGGGGTAAGTATCGCAATAGCTGCACAGTCAGAGGATACAGTAGATGAACAGAGCCTAGGATCATACAGAGACAAATCATGCTTGGAAATAGGACATGTTCTTTTTCACAGATAATGGAATAAAAATAGCATTTCCCCAGATCTGTGCACTAGCTGTGCATTCCTTCTCTGAATGTGGAACTTTCTGTAGCAAAGATAGCAGCACCCATGGACAAACATCAGCAATTTGATCTGACAGGAGCTGAGTCTGTGTGCAAACTTTTAAAATCTGCACATCATTTGCATTTATAAAATGCTGAGAAAATTAGAACAAACTTCAGACTTCCATTCTGCAATTTGCGCAAACTGGATAAATTGTGCAAATTGCACAGTCTGAACTTTGGCAAAATTTAAAATTGACTGACAGAATTCAAAATGGCCAAGGTAAGGTGTGCATATGCTGTGAAAGGTGGATGCTTCCACATCTCTCATGTTCAATGCTACAACAAGAACAGTAGCAACTCAAATCTAATGAGTCAGCCACAATTTGCACAATTTACAAATTGTGCAAATTTACAAATTCACGATTAGCACACAAATTGCAGTAGAGACACTCACTTCTTGGTTACAAATATGTGCAAGTATTTGGAGCAACTTCACTGATGCTGGTGTGGGGGGTGGGGGCTGCTTTTAACCTTCAGGTCAGAAGTACATCAAAAACCCATTGAGCTCAATTAGAATCAGTTTTCCAGTGTCATGCAACACTAGCCCAGAAACAATTACCAGCTAGTATTGCAAGGTACTAATGGGGGGAGGAGGGATTCTGACTCCAAATATGGATGGGTGGGTGGGGAACAGCATCCTCTTAATCTTTCTCAGATCATGGGACGTTGTTCGATCCGGTGGGAGCTAGGGGGCAGGTCTCAGCTGTGCTTTGGCTTAATTTCCCATTTTGTCTATCTGACATTAGGCCCAGTTCTGGTTGAGTGCAGAAGCAAGGGAAAGGAATGGAGTGAGTGTGAAGAGGGGCGATTGGAACTCTGCATCTGTCCTCATTCCAGCTTCCATGGGCTGTTATCCAATTTTTAAAATGGCTCAAAGGAATGTTGCAGGGAAATCACTTACTCACTCTTTTAAAAAGTAGTCAAGATTTGACCATTTACAGAAGCTGTTTCCTGAAGCTGTCTTGAAAATAACTCATCAAGAGCAGGGAAAAACTAACCTTGAGAAAAAGTTTATGGGACTACTGGTAGGGTAATATATACCCTCCGCCACCACACCTGTGTAGTAAAGAGCTTTCTTGAAAAAGTCTCTGGCCCCATTTAACATACAATAACCAATCAACCCGACCATACCCCTTACAGTAAACCAACAAGGCTCCCAGCCCAGCTCAGCCCCAACCGGTCAGGAACAGCCACCTACCTCTGGTCCTCCTCCCATCTTGTCTTGTGCATGCAAGTAGTAGTTTTTCCCCCCATATATAATGTATTGTATGTGTAGCAGCAAAGGCTCTGGCACAGACTATCTGAGTCAATGGTGATACCACAGAACAATCACAAACATTCAGAATGCTCGATGACACTACTGCCAGAATTTTGCAACCCAGCTTGTCTTTTAATCACACCCATTTCTGCAAGCTCATTTAATTGTGGAAGACATTTACCATAACTACAAATAGAAGCAGTGTTTCAACAAAGCACAGCTATTATCAATATTTTTAGAAGAAATTTTTACTTGCAACACATTCATCAAAGCATTGCAATGAAAAGGAAAATTACCAAGGGTGAGACCATCACAGATGAGAGCCTTGCTGTGAGGTACAAAACAGAAGTCTTACAATATGAATTGAAAAAGAGAGAGACAGCTTCTTGCATGAGCAATTTCTTGGAATGGGTAGCTATTCTGATGAAAGCAGTGGCTAGTGCAATGATCTTTATTCTATGGCCCCAAATCTGCTAAAAGAGTTGATGATCTTGGGGCAACTGCAGTATAACACTCTTGTCAATGAACATCATTGCCATCACTGTTATAATTAATTTTACATTATTTTTTTTTAAAGGGCAGAGTTCTGTTTACTCATCACAGGGGGCACCCCCAAATCCAGTAGACAAACTTAAAATAAAATTCTGTTATTGTAATTAAGTTCAGTGTTCCTTTCCCCTACTTAAAAAGAAGAAAATCAGTTCTATAAGACATAACCTGCCCATTTAAGCTAATTATAATCACATTACTGACCACAGTAATTATCTTATGCACATTTAATAGGGACCAATTATCAGTTTACCCAGAGGGGCTTATGTCTGAGTAAACATACCTAAGAGAGTCTGTTCTGTATTGGGCTACCTAATTTTGTCTTGGATCCCTACTGAATTTTGTTTTGAAACCATTCCCAGTGATTGTTACGATGGATGGATGGATGGATGGATGGATGGTGCACTACCTGGAAAATATGCTCTCTAGAAAAGTAGTAGAAACATGGACCCCACCCCCACCATCTCTTTTGCCCAGCAGATTTCCCTAACCTGCACAGCTGGAAGGTCTCACAGCCCTGTAGGCATGCCATGGGAAGTGTGGCTCTGCTCTGAGGAGGTCTGGTGGCACCCAGGCTTGCTTCCCTAGCCCTGTCTTCTGATGGGAAGTTAAATTCAAGAAAGGGGAAGAGGAGGGACAAGAAGGATCGGTGGGCCATGTCTGTATTTATCATGGCCAGCGTTCCTGATCAAGACAGACCCAAAAGGGAGCTCTGGATGGGCAGGGCAGGTGTGATGCAGAGGAAGCTTCAGATACACTAGATCCAAACGCCCTCTGTTCCCCTGAGAGATCCGAGGGACATGATCCTCAGCTGTGCCAGCTTGGAGGTGATGCAGCTCCTCCCCTCTCCCCAGTCAGTTTATGAGCAGGAGGATTCCATTTTAATCAGCTGAGCTGAACAACCTACTAACTCCCCACTCCCAGACACAGAAATGCACCCTTCCTGCCCTGCCCGATGAGTCAGCTGGGCTTCAGAATTGGTGGACAACCCACCACTTGATTTCCCTGCCCTACACTATCCTTCATTCTTCACCGTATTGACTAGGATTTTATTTATCTTGCTTTTCTTTCACTGTAAAGAGGGAAGCCCCACCTCCCCCCAGTCTCGTCTTCCATCCACCTTTGCAGAGAGGGTGGCCTTCCCCTTTATACAGGAGTTCCATCAGACTGCCCAACCCAAGGGCCATTTTGGGCAGCGGTCACATCCCTGCTGTCCTTGGTACCCCACAGGGATCCCTGAGATAACTCTGGGCAGACTATGGAAGAGAGAGGAGGACGGTGGTGCTTCAGGAGCTCTGCTGTACCCAGCTGCTGGTTGTTTGGCACCCCCAAGCAACTTTAAGCCCTGGTTGGCTATATAGACATCCTGGACTTAAAGTATTGACCAGGTGGCTATATAGACCACCTGTGCTCTTTCTTTGTCTCCTCCTTTCTGCCCCCCTCCTTGCAGAAGCATTTACAGAAAACATTTATGTAAAGAAACGTGGCTTTTAAAGATTGCATTGTTGCTTCCATTGAGTTTTGTTTGTAGAATTGGGATTTTCTGGCACAGTTGTCTGTAGTTTAAATTACTTGTGCTTATAAATTGCCTCGAGCATTTTATGAGAAAGGCGATGGATTAAGGCAGTAAAATAAATCAATACATATTTAGTAAAACAATAAGAAGAAGAGAAGGGACAAGCGCAAATCATCTGTTTGGGTGTGAATGACTGGCAAGAATAGGCTTGGAGGGAGCAATGTCTCAACCCTTCTCCACCCATACATGGATAGTTATGACAGGGCTGTAACCCGATCTTAGAACCATGTGCAGTTCCATTCCAGATGCTGAAATTCTGTAGGCAGCATTGAAGTCAATCCTTCTATGCATAATTTGCCATGGTATAAACAGCCATATGGGGCTACAGACACTCACCCTTGTAAGATTCACATGCAATTGTGAATGAGAGTGTTTGCCACATTCATGCATTCTATATAGAGATATTTTACAGGTATGGTAGAGGATCCACCTTCTCCAGGCAGGTGGGGCCTGCTTGCAAAGCTTCTTCTGTCTGGGGATCCCCTATAGCCCTTGCACCACAGCTGACCCTACTCATCTAGGCCCCTCAGCTCTCTAGGTAGAATTCTGAAGGGGCTGCAGGGACTGGGGCCCCTTCTCCCAAAATACACCATTCCTTTTCCTCAGAGTCTGAATCAGAACCGGAGGGAGAGGTAGGGACAGATTCTGAGCAGGGTTGCCAAGGCCAGGAGGACCATCAATTAGCCAAGAGCTGGTGAGGTCCTACCATCTCTGGTTCTGGGGGAGACACTGTTGAACAGGAAGGACCAGACAAGGAGGACTGTAACATGATTGATATTGCTCGACATGAGATCAGGAAAGCAGGTCAATTGAGTAGCATCCTCATTCCTACAGAGGGCAAATGAACCCCGTTTGGTGTTGAAGCAGGGGCGGTTCACTTGGAATCCGCTTCTTGGCATGAGAGGTCATCTCCTTCTTAGCTGGCTCCCTAATTTGAGGGAAGCCCTTTGCCTCCGCAATATTCCCTTTGTATCACCAAGCCAGCCCGGGTGGCCCGATTTAACATATTAAAGGCTACAGTTGGATGCCTCTTGTCTTGTGAAGGATGGAGAGGATGCAAGGGAGGCTGGCTTCCACCAGGGTGGGCTTGCACCAGTCCTCTTGCCCAAGCTGGAATCTGGATCCAGACATTGTGTGCAATTCATGCACGCAAAAGCATCTGGTTGAAGTACTCAACATTCATGGGC